TTCTAAATACTTGGAAATTATACAACATACTTCTAAATAACGTATGCGTCAAAAAAACAGTCTCAAGTGAAAAAAGATTTTTGTATTGAACAAAATAAAAATGCAACATAACAAAATGTGTGTGATGCGGTTAAAAATGGTGCTTCGAGGGAAACATATATTAAATGTTTATATTAGAAAAAAAGAAGGGTCTCTAATCAATAATCTAAGTTTCCACCTGCATAAACTAGAAAATAAGGAGCAGAATACATCCAAAGCAAGAAGGTAGGGGAAATATTAAGGATAAGGGCAGAAATAAATGAAATTGAAAGTTAAAAAACAATAGGAAAAAAAATAAATGAAAACAAAAGCTGGTTCTCTAACAATATCAAAATTATTAAGTCTCTAGCAAGACTGACAAAGAAAAAACTCATTTCTTACTAATGAAAGAGGGGGTCCCACTGACATTAAAAGGATAGGGAAATAGAACAACTCTACATACATAAATTCAGCAACTAATATTGCTTCCATCCTTTGAAGAATTTCTTTGGTCCATGTTCATGAGGATATTGGTCTGTGGGTTTGTCACTGTTGTAATTTGCTTTTTACCATCATTAATGCTGGCCTTGTGAAGTAAACTGGCAAGTTTACCCTCTTGTTCTGAAAGACATGGTCTAAAACTGGTGTTATGTCTTCCTTAAATGCTTGTTAGAATTTACCGGCGAAACCTACTGGGACTGGAAATGTCTTTTCCAGAATTTTCTTTTTTAACCATGAATCCGGTTTTATTAATGATTATAGGACTACTGAGGTTATGGATTTCAACTCAGGTGGGTTTGGATAGGTTGCAGTTTTTTCAGGAATGGGTACAAGAGAGTCTTGTTGGATTGTCTGACTCTTCCTGGATCAGAGAAGAGACAATTTGATCCAGGATCTTTCAGACTGTCGCAGAGAGGTTTCCAATCTTCTTGGCAGTAATCAGATGGCAGTAGGGGGAGGTTATAGGGAGGCTCAGGGAAGGGTGCTGAGGGGCTAAATTGCAGACTCCTTGTTTCTGAGACTGGCCTGTCCCACACCGCCAGGCCAGTACAGTTAACTGCAGTCACTGGCCAGGCTGGAATGTTGTTCCATGACGAGAGCTGGGAACCACAGGGGTAGAGGTGATACTGAGGGGTGGCAGGTAGGTATGGGAGGTGGGGTCAGGTCTAAGTGTAAAGCTGGCCAGGGAAGGCCACGGGGTCTCCCCACCCTCTCCACCAGAACAAGTACTCTCTGAACCACTTTCTGAGATTCTTCCCTCTTACATACAGCATATGCCCAGGGACAGGTTAAGTGCCAACATGGCTTCTTCCCCACATATAATGCGCAGTCTTTTTAATTCTTTTATTATTATGAAGGGAAGGCAGCTGCTACAGAAAAAGTTTGGAAAACTCTGCCCTCAGATGTCCCAAAGGAGGTGACTCGGGTTCTGGCACGGGCTTCTTGAGAAGGCAGTGGGCCAGCCATTCCCAGCCCAAGGCAGGGCACTTCCACGGACTCAGCCTGGGTATGGAAACAAAGTCGTGGCATTCAACTGACTGGCTTCACTTCTTCCTCCATTTAGTCAGACACAAACCGAGACTCATAAAGCTGAGGGCGACCTCATGAATCTCCCTGCCCATGGCCTGATTTCACAAGATGAGGAGACTCTGTTCTAGACATGGGAAGTGACTGGCTCAAGGTCGTAGACTTGTTGAGGCAAAAATGGGACTGGAGCCCACGTTCCAAGGGTCCCAGCTCAGTGCTCTTTACACTACACATAAAAACAAGTGTTGACTGGACAGCTACTGTATTGTGAGGCAATATGATGACAGTTCCCGTTAGCATAGAATCTGACCTTCAGTAGGGAATATAGACATTAAACAATTACCCAGATAAACAGAAATGAGTGTGAAGTTACTAAGGAGAAAATGCAGGGAGTGAGTGTAAATACATGGCCTTCAAAAGGCTTCTCAAGACACAACCCACCACCGCCAGCACTAGAGTCATAGTGGTCCCAGTGGAAAAATTTCACCTTGGTAAACTGAGGAATGATTATATGTGATCTTTTGGTGGCTAAATAAAATTTCCTGTTGGTGAAGTCTACAACCTAGAAAGTGCTTTAGTCCTATATCTGAAGCACGATCTCAGATAGGCACATGGAGAACGCCATATTAGTAGTAGACTAAGGAGTTAAGACAAAAAGGCAGACATTGAAAGAAATAATGATTCTAGCCCTGGGCATTTTGTTGAACCAAGATGAAGGAGCCATTGTGTGGTGACTCAAGCCAAGCATGACCCAGATACTGCAGGGGAAACAGCCCTGGAGCCACGAAGGCCCTGGAACAGGCTCCAGCAACCAGCATGACATACTCCAGAGAGCAGGAGTTCCCTGCTGAGTAAACCAGGTAGTTCTGCAGAGTAGGGACTCTAGGATTCCGTGTTTCAAGACCCCGACAGTGAAGAAAGGACAGAAAGAAACATGCACAGACAGACCTTCTAGCTTATCTCAAAACTTGATAAATATTAACACTTTTAATGGGAAACTTCTATAAACATTTGATCAAGTTATTCTTTTGGGAGAGGTTTCCCCTACAACTGGCCCTCTCCTGATGGAAGCATTTAAAGGGTCTCTAATTTCCCCCTATACTTTCAAGGCATAAATGCAATCACAAAGCCGAAGACCTGAGGTGAAAGTAGCTTTACAGATGTTAAATTCCCATGTGGGAGAGCTTGATAAAACAGACTGGAGTCTGATAATTCAATTGTAACAGGAGGTCGGGCTCTTTTCACCACAGCAATCAACAGAAGAACAAAAAAAGTAGGCAGGTAATTCTATATGAAGCATAGAATGTTCTGGAAGAAAAAACAAAAGTCAAGTCACCTATGAGGTGGCTGAGATAACTACAAGAAGAGATGTTCCTAGAAGCTTCTAAACCACGTTGCAAAGTTGGGCTAACTGACCACACAGTTTGGGACAGAAAAACAGGAGTAACGTCAGAGACTGTCACCACAGTTCGTAGGAGGATTCAGACCACACCAGCACCAAACAGGTGTCTGACCACCTGCCGGGGCTCTCTTGTCAATTCAAAACCTCTGAAGGTGGTTATTTTGGTCAAAGGCATAGAATTTAAGGTTTTAAAACGTATTCAGAATGCACATTTATACCAGCCAACTCTGATGGGGCAGAAATCATTTATCAGGATCACAGCAGGCTGTCTGAGTCTAAAGCAACAGCTATCTTAAAAGCTTAATGGAATCTCCCTCCTTAAAAATTATTAATAAGAGGGCGCCTAGATGGCTCAGTTGGTTAAGCGACTGCCTTCGGCTCAGGTCATGATCCTGGAGTCCTGGGATCGAGTCCCGCATCGGGCTCCCTGCTCGGCAGGGAGTCTGCTTCTCCCTCTGATCCTCCTCCCTCTCATGCTCTCTGTATCTCATTCTCTCTGTCTCAAATAAATAAATAAAATCTTAAAAAAAATTATTAATAAGAGAATGATTTAGCTTGCATTTCCCCCAGACCCTCAGGAGCTGGCTAAGTAACCTCAAGAAGTACCCAATTAGTTCAGTAATTCTGTTGAGTCAATGGGAAATGACAACAATTAATCTTGGGCTCTTTGTTTCAACACCTTGAGAGTCAAGAAAGAACATGATGACGTATGCACAGATAAAGCTTCTAGTTTTATCTCAGGACTTGGTAAGAATAATACTTATTTTTCTATACATTCCCTGCTGTATCCGGAGCACCTAGCACAGAGCCTGACATACAGTGCAACTTCAAAAAAACTTTTTTTTAAATAAGCACACAGTTTACTTATCAGTTAAAAACTCTGCAAAACCAGAAATATATGCCTTGAAAGATTACTATCTTATCATTCACACTGATATACAAGTAAGAAAGGGAGTATCAAACCAAACATTTATTTCGTTATTTTTCTTAGAATGGTTTGGTGAAAACAGACAAACAGAACTAACAAATACCCTCTACAGTTTGCTAACTGTGTGATCTTAGGCATGTGACTTGAACGCCTCTCTTAAGTATCTATGACCTCATATCTAAATAAGGCCAATAATCTCCTCCTCACAGTGTCGCACTACAGACTTAAATATGGTCAGACTTTTTAGAGCCTGGCACACAAAAGGTGTTCAGCAAATGAAGACCCGTGAGAGTGTAGGGGGAAAAACTCCCATATTCTCCTTTGACCTCAAACATGGATTCCAACTAGAAGATTGTATTATCCATGTCACTTTCTGAGCTTCTTCCCAAAGAAAGGAGTCCTTTGCTTATTACAACAAGAATTCTCTAACCTGGTGGCAGATCAGAACCCCAGGGGAGCTTTCCAGGCAGGTGTCGTGCTCACTGTGACTCTCCGGTGGTGTGTGGGAGGAGGACAGAGCTGCCTGGTGGAGTCCTCCACCTGGCTCTGAGCCCCTGGGCCCTCCAGGAGCCCAGGTACATGGGGACAGAGGGACAGCAAAAAGGAAGCGGTCAGGACACAGGGAGCGTGAGGCTTCAGAGGCAGGTGGAAGGGAGGCAAAGCACAGGGAGGCCCAGGGAAGGCTGGCCAGCCGATTAGGAGCACACGACCTCTTCCTCAGAGAAACATCTTTTTTTTAATTTTTTTTTTATTTTTTTAAAGTAATCTCTACACCCAGCATGGGGCCCGAACTCACAACCCTGAGATCAAGAGTCGTGCACTCCTCCGACTGAGCCAGCCAGGCGCCCCGAGGAGCAACCTTAATTTAACCAGTAAATGAAAGGCCGTTTGGAAATAGCTTCTACAAGCTGTGATTTGACAGAAACTTCGAGTGAATATACATCTAAGCTTTCCAAAAAAACAGATCTGAAATTGGCTGGTTAATCTGGCCTAAACCATAACATATGGATAGATCTAAATGCTACCGAAAGCCTCCATTTTAAAAGCAACATATGTATTTTTTCAATGTAAGTTTAACATATTTTTAAAAATCGTAAGTGATGTAATCAGAAGGGCAAGACTCACCAAGCTGAGCAAAAGCATTTCTCTTCAAGAGGGTGCCAATCAAGTTGAAGTCGTTCTCATCTTTACCTTCATCTTTACCTTCTAGATGAGCCATATGCTACTTCAGTTCTCTGTGTAACTTCAAGGATGTCACGACCTTTCAGGACTCAGTTTCTCCACCTGTTTAAAAAAAGGAGGGATGGATCTAGCAAACTCTAAAACACTATGCCTCCCTTCTATAAACAGCAATCGTTGTTACTTCTGTCTATGCCAAGTATTTAATTACTAAATATGCCTATCTTTTAATATGTGGCTCCTGAGAAGGGGAAAAGGGACCAGGGTTTTAAAAAATGACACAAATGAGCAAATGCAGGCTTAAAGGAAAACTTCCTAGACACCTGGTTCACCCCAAAACGGGACAGACCACATCCCTCCCTCCCCTTTCTTTGAATCAGACTTCCCTAACTCTGTTCCCCAGATGCCATAAACCTCTCTCCTATTAGCCAAGGCCTGTCTTAAGACAGAATACATCTTCTTACAGGCTGGAAACTCTTTTTGCCAAGTATGGAGTTGTTACAGACTCATAAAATGAGCACAGTATCAAGTCAATAGCTTACCAAGCACCCAGGGCTGCATGCTAATCTCAACACCCTCGCTTAGCCCACAGCTAGGAGTGTGAGGTGTTGACAAAAGAAAATCCAAGATTTAAAGAGTGCTCTGATTTAGTATTGCTGATGAAAGAACAGCATATCCTTCTGTGATACATACAAATGACAATCAAGTGAACATACCAGCAAAGGCCTCATTTTGTAACCCTGTCAAATAATAATGAAGGAAAAGTCATGAAAACAAATGCAGCCCAAACCAGGCCTATTTTAAAAGCATACAGGATTTAGGGGCGCCTGGGTCGCTCAGTCGTTAAGCAACTGCCTTCGGCTTGGGTCATGATCTCAGGGTCCTGGGATCGAGCCCCTCATCAGGCTCCCTGCTCCACGGGAAGCCTGCTTCTCCCTCTCCCACTCCCCCTGCTTCTCCCTCTCCCACTCCCCCTGCTTCTCCCTCTCCCACTCCCCTTGCTTCTCCCTCTCCCACCCCCCCTGCTTGTGTTTCCTCTCTTGCTGTGTCTCTCTCTGTCGATTAAATAAATAAAATCTATAAAAGCATACAGCATTTAGAGTACATGAAGAAAAATGTATTTTTAATAAATTCCTATACAGAGAAAACCTTAGCATTCATTAAACACTGTACAAACTCTTTCATAGGCCTTCGACTTGGTATTACACGCTCTGTGAACCCAATGTAGCTATAGAATATCCAACACTGATTATGTACTAAGAACTGTACAGAAACAGAGAGACCACTCACCCACAGAATATAAGGACTCAAGCATGTAACAGTGACCACCCTAGGGGACAGTGTAACAGCCTGTTACAACAGCCTTATTCTATAACTGCTTGAAGTATTCTTGATTTGCAGTGATAAAAGTCCATTTTTAAAAACCGAATAACTATTACTGTAGTCAAAAGTTAACAAAGCACCTACATTGGGAATCAGTTAAAGAAAATTCATTTGGAATAAGTGGGTTTATACTAACTACTGTACAAAGTGTCTGTCAAGTGACACTTGATCTCTCAATATTTCTAAGGGGAGCATGAACCCTCCTTCGTCACTCCAACTAGCTTCCTCGGACCTTAATGCTATGAATAAAATGTCTGACTTCCAGCATTTTAGGAAGTTCTCCTTAAAAAGCACAAAGAGAGGGCGCCTGGGTGGCTCAGTTGGTTAAGTGACTGCCTTCGGCTCAGGTCATGATCCTGGAGTCCCTGGATCGAGTCCCGCATCGGGCTCCCTGCTCGGCAGGGAGTCTGCTTCTCCCTCTGACCCTCCCCCCTCTCATGTGCTCTCTCTCATTCTCTCTGTCTCAAATAAATAAAATCTTTAAAAAAAAAAAAAAGCACAAAGAGGGGCGCCTGGGTGGCCTAGTCGCTAAAGCGTCCGACTCTTGATTTCAGCCCAGACCCTGATCTCAGGGTCGTGAGTTCAAGCCACGCATAGGGCTCCAGCGTGGAAAGTACAAAGAAATGTTTACTTATTAACAACTGCAAGAAGAACCAATACAATTTTTCACACTGACTCTAAGAGAAAAAAATATGGAAAGGGAACCAAAATGTTATTAAAAATGCTTAATGACGGGGTGCCTGGCTGGCTCAGTCGATAGAGCACGTGACCCTTGATCTTGGGGTCGTGAGTTTAAGCCCCACATTGGGGCACAGAGCTTACTTAAGAAAATAAAAATAAAAACCGTGCGCACTTTAAGGAAAATGCTTAATGATAAACTCAAGCTGTCAAAATAAAATATGGAGGTACATGAAAAATAATCATAATCTTGCTAAACATTAACACAAAAATTATTTTTAATGTAAAAATTATTTAAGGCTCCAGTCTAGAATGAACATATAGATCTACAAATTTCTAGAAGCACGCAGCCAAATAGGCAAGTTCTTGATCTCTCCCATATCCTTCAGAATGTGGACACGTGGCTCTTAAGTTCAGTTCACAAGACAGAATACAACCGATCTAGTACGCTGTGTAAACGGCTTCATTCGGAAAAGCCTTCTTTCATTCACAGGCCTGACAAATGCTTGCTTCCTGTGTTCCAGAGGAAACCATATTTATAATAAGTAGTTTTTGTAAGATTTACTTTGCGTGCTTCTCATGTGATTAGACACTGGCAGGGCTGGCCCCGTGTGGGTAGCAACCGAGTAACAGCAAAACGCTCACTTGCTCGAATGTTCGCAATCCTAAAATGGCAAGTCCTTGGCCTCAGTTATTACCTCTTCAAGGCTTTGGTTAAGTTTCAACTACTTTATCTGAAAGGAGTAATAGCTAACAGCTACATATATGAATAAATACTGCACACTAATTTATTTCTGTCAGCCAAGAGGTCACCAGGTGAGAAGAAACTGAAAGTGCCTCCCACCCCCACCCCCGTTGGGTTGCCTGGGGTCAAGGAAATGGGAGGAGGGTTCCTAATGGTAGGTAAGAAACCTGAAACACTGATTTCTCTGCTTCTCTAGGTTGCCTTAACAGCAGGCAATTCTGTTTTGTGTTTAACTCTCAAATAACTTGACCTGTGCACATACGGAAAGGCAGGAATTAAAATGTACTGAGCAAGAAAACGTAGAAGGTCCAGTTACACAGTTCATGGAAAAACAACACCTTTGTCTTTCCCAGTCTAGTGAAGCATTCTGGGAAAGCAGACACTCTGGCTTCCCAAAGTCCCACAGCCTCTGCAAGCTTGACCGCTTTATGGGCAGACCACAGCTCAGAAGACCACTGGTGTCTTGGAATAACCCATCCTTCGCTCATGCCAACATCAACCCGATGATGAGTTTTCTGAATAAGCTAGTCTTCTGTTGGCCAAGGGAGGCCTTCCATTCCTCTTGTTTAGAAGGCAGTTTCATTTCAAATGGCACCTCTGTGGGGCAGCACTAAAGGAAAATGTTATAACCTCTGTGGAAATTCTAGGCCTTTCCACTGCTTTCAGGTACACCAGAATTCACTGTGGTCATTAGATTCAGGGGATACTCACGCAGGGCAAAAGGCAGTATTCTGGGTAATGAAGCCATAAACCAATAAAATAAGGTTCACACTGTGTCCCTCAACTTGTCATTCTCATCTTTCCTACACAGCATCTTCTAACTTAATCATGATTCCTCAAACCATTATATTTATTTGAGAGCAAAATAACTGATGTTTAAGGACCAAAAAAAAAAAATCATTTATATTTTTAAACTAACTTGTAATACAAATATTTGTTTCTATATACAAAACAGCAAAAAGTTACTTTAAAACTCTTGAAATTGATAGTTCAAGTTATTGCTTCAAAAAACAAGATAAATATATATGAGACAAATATTTTGAGAGCATTTGAAAGCACTGAAGATACCAACTTTTGAGGAATAAAACATTTGATTTATTCAACAGTATAAAATTTTAGAAGAGTTGTCTTTCATTTTAAATTTGTTACTGTCATAATAAAAAATGTTGGTGAAATGAGGTTTACTTTTCAATTGCTGTGTAATCTGTCGTCCTTTTTTGTACCTTCCAATGTGCATGAAACTGCTGTTCAAGTGAAGGCAAAATATAAAACTCCCCTATGGCACCATTTTCTTTTAAGTAAAATGAGAAAATTGTCAAAGATTCGCTCCTGCCTCTCACGAATTTTCAGAACAAGTAAAACTTTCTAAAGCACTTGGCAAATATAAAAAGGGATTTTAAGATTTGGAGGGGGCTTTAAAAAAAAAAAAAAAAAAGGATGCCTGGCTGGCTCAGCTGGTACAGCATGCGACTCTTTTTTTTTTTTTTTTTTAAGATTTTATTTATTTATTTATTTGACAGAGAGAGACAGCGAAAGAGGGAACACAAGCGGGGGAGTGGGAGAGGGAGAAGCAGGCTTCCCACCGAGCAGACAGCCGGACGCGGGGCTCGATCCCAGGACCCTGGGATCATGACCTGAGCCGAAGGCAGACGCTTAACAACTGAGCCGCCACCCAGGCACCCCAGCATGTGACTTTTGATCTCAGGGTTGTGAGTCTGAGCCCCAGATTGGATGTAGAGATTACTTTAAAAATAAAATCTTTAAAAAAAAAGATTGGGGGGAGTGAAATGCCCCTTCCCCTGCTCATGCTCTCTCTCAAATAAATAAACAAAATGTTAAAAAATAACACTCTTTGAGAAAGAAAATCAATTGTTATAGGTTTTATGAAGAACCTAAATCTTCTAAGTGTTTAATGCAAAACACGCCACTAGTGAAATGGTTCCACTAGATGGCGCCCTATTTTTTCCAGTGACCAGAGACACCTCTTACCTACCCTCCATCATCACCTGATAGCAATTTTTCTTGAGCTTATTTTAAAGTGTCAGTGGGCACCATCTTTGTACAATGGATTCCATGACTTGACTCTCACTACATAAAACAATGTTTGCTTTATTTTCTTAAAATGTCTTCTTCCAGGATTCAAGCTTCATTAGCATTCCAGAATTTTAAGATCATGAATTTGGTCATTCAACACATTTCTTGAGCCCTTACTTTGTGCCACATGCTCTCTACATTCTGAAGCAACCCATGCTCTTTAGTGGTGACCAATATTAAAGACTTCCCATCCTTGGGGCGCCTA